GGAGAGAAAAGAGGAGAGGAAGGGACTTTGAGCGAGAATCTATATATATATATACTAAAGTAGAAACATGCCACGTCATGGCCTGAGCTTTCTCCCTTACCCCCAACCAAGAACAATCAGCCCCTCTTCATTTTAGCCTTCTTTGCTCCCTCATGAAACTACCTCATCACTCCCTTCTCCCTCTCTCATTTTGACATATCACCATGCCTGGCCTATCCCTCTTTCCTCCATGTTTATCCCTTTGAATATCCTTTCCTAAAATCTCTCTCTACCCAAATCTAATATAATCTAGCCAAGTGGCACCACTATCCCCCCACTTACTCCTAAATTATCTATAATTCCTATTTATCTCCTAAATTATATATAATTCCTAATTATCTCCTAAATTTTCTCTAATTCCTATCTATCCTTCCCTACTTTTCATCTATATCTATCAAAAGAAAGTTTGAACTAAAATATTTAATAATTATTTAAATATTATAATAAAATTATGTAACAACTTTAAAATATTTATTAAAAACACAAAAGGTTATCATGGATTTCATAATACTCATATTATTAATAATTTTATACTTTTATGAAATTCATAACGAATTTATGTACTAACAATATAAAATATAATATTATGAATTATTCAATTTAAATATTATTCAAATAATAAAATTTAAAAATATTATTTAAAAAGTTTCAATAACTAAATATTATAAATAACAAAGTATTAAAAATATTTAAATACTATATAAAAAAATATTTAATATTATGTAATAACTAAAATAAATAAAATTTAAATAATGAAAAAATGTTAAATATTTTACATTTCATTTAAATACTTAAATAACAAAATATTTTAAATAACGAAATGTTTAACATAGCTAAATTTTAAATAGTTAAAATAACAAAATTATGTAAGAAACTTAAAAATTTTATTAAAAGTAGAAAATCATTATAATAGATTTTATAATATTTGAATTAATAGTAATTTTATATTTTACAAAATTAATAACGAATTTATGTACTAATAGTATAACTTATAATTTTATGGATTATGAAATTCAATAAATAAGTAATATTGAGATAACTAAATAATGATATTATTTAAATAGATAAATAATGTTGTAAATAACTAATATGAAATATTTTAAATATTAAAAAAATTAATAACTAAATCATATTTTAAATATTATTTAAAAACAAAAAATATTAAATAAAGAAAATAATAGATTGAATAATATTTGATAATAAGAATATAAAATATAAATAATTTATTTATTTTTAAATATCATTGAAATAATGAAAAATAGATTAAATAATTTAGAGGTATTGAAGCTTTAAAATAACAAAAATAGGTAATAACTTTCAAAAAATGTTTTTAATAGATATTAAAAAAATATAATAGTAATTTATATATCAATTAATAATTATAGAAAATAACTTTTAGAAAATTGATATTTACTGATAATAATTTTAAAATCTTAATCTATATTTATTATATATACTAAAATTTATATTTATTGTATTTTTAGTAATTATTTATTGTATTTTTGTGATAAATATATTTTCAGTAATTATGTATAAATCTATTTTTGTTTTTTTATTTAATAGAAAATTTTTAATAATTATTGGTGTTTAAATTATCGTTATTTATTAGAGATTAAACTTTTAGTTTATCTAAAATTAGGAGTGTTCACAGGTTGGTTCAATTCTGTTGTAGGTTCTTTGGCCAACCAAATTGACTTGGCCGGGTTGGAGAGTTGGTCGCTTGAAACCAACCAACCATTAGTAAAAACCATCCAACTTGGGTTATATTGGTTTGAGTCAATTTTCGATTTGGTTGGTTGGTTCAAAAGATTTAAACTTAAAAAATTAAATTTTAAAATTATAGTGGTATTATTAAAAAATAAACTAAAAAAAATTAAATTTGCAATATACAATATTTTAGACTAAGGAATATGGGTATTTTCCCACTTTTCCATATTAAAAGTTATATTTGTTATATATATAATGGTTGGGTTAGTTTGGTTTTTGTCGATTTACAAATGGTCAAATCGAAATTGACCTGACTTGGTTAGGTTGGGAAATTGTTGAACTAAACCCCACTAGAAATACTAGAAAACCGACCAACTCAAGTCGAGTTGGGTTGTGTTGGTGGTTTTCACCGGTTTGATGAACAACCTAGATGAAATTAATTATTGTTATTTTTGTATTGTAAAAAAATATTAAAAGTAGTATATAAAATATAACTTATTATTAATTATTTAAAAGGTTAAATATAAAACAATTGTCTACTCTTATGTGCTTTTATTCTTTAGCTTTTGCTTAGCAAAGCTTGTGCATCACACGGGTCCTTGCTAGGTGCAACTTAAGTGGGTTGGGTCGGGTTGAGTGTCAATCCAACCCTAAGTTTCAAACTTCAAGATCAAGTTTGGTCTAATTCAAGATTAAGTTTGAGTTTACCAACCTAGGCCCAATTCAACCTTAACAAAGCATCTCGGGCTAAGAGATGACAATTTCTACCTTACCTAGTGGGTATCCACCCCTAACCACTTCGAAAGGGCAGGTTTTTTTGTTTGAAGGATGGGTTTTGGGATTCTATAATCCGTACGTTATGGGTAGGGTACGGGATTAGGCTAAACCTAACCCCCTCAACCTGCATATTTATGGAAAGCATATAAACTTTATATACTAAGCATTGAATTTAATAATATTTTGACTTAGATGTAAATGATGATTGATGGTTGTGTGTGTGTATCATATAATGCTGGGCAAACTTAAATTGCATCACATTAGTACCCAAGGCTTCAACCTAAGCCCAATATGAGTTTAGTTTAGGCCTGAGTTTTTTTAGCTTAAGCCCATCTTAAAGTCAAAAAACTCAAATCCAACCTGTACAAAAGCTTTGATTGAACCGGGTTGGGCTTGAATTAGATACACCCAACTTACACCCCTACCTCTATTGCTTGAAACTATTTTTAATAAGGTTCATGCATCGACCATCCTTGCTAATAAAACAGAAAACTAGAAAAATGCAGAATAAGGGTTGGGGTGTTGAGGGATAGAATGGATGCCTAACGACTGTTAACTCCTCCACTCGTGTATGGTGTCCTCACGTTTTGTGAGGACGTTATGAGGTGCTGGCTGTTGTGGCCATCATTATTACCATTAGATTCTAAATCAATTGTTTGAGATTGATGGGCAATATTCCAGATCTGGTTTGAGATGCATAATTGGATGCTACGCTACATTCCTTAATTATGTATCATTATAACATCCACATCAGTTGATTGGGTACCATTTGGTGATTGGTTACCACTTACCAATTGAATTGGATGATACCGGTTGATTGGTCATCAGCGTTTAGTTTTTTGTTTTGGTTGGTAGTCTGTGTTACTGTTAGGTACGATAGCTTTTCTAATTGAACTGAACCATTATCACGTGTGTTAATAGTGTTTTGACTGTTGACCACTTCCAAACCGATTATATAATGGGAAATAAAACCCGTAATCGGAGCAATTATTAATTGGGTAATCGGATTTGACCCAATCTGACCTGATTGCACTTGACAATCTATTCTATGATAATAGTAACTTATAACTTCATTTCTATCATTTAACCATAGTGACTGCTTATATGCTGATAGAAACCAAAATTACATCCTATAAATATAACGGAAGACCTCTTATATATTATTAAAAATGGGTCCTGACCCGATTATTAATCGGGACACAACTAGGGAACCGGAACCGATATGATCGGTTTGGTCAGTTCGGGTTTGTCTGATCAACCTGATCGATGGACAGCTCTATAACAAAATACATCTAGGCAGTGTTTGAATTGATGTTGTTTTTTGAGAGGCATTTTGCTGTTATATATAACACATAGCACATGAGAGTTCTTCAATGCCATGTCAATATATTGTTTTAATGCTTTTAACAATAATAAAAAATAAGAAAACATAAAAAAGAACGCTTTTTAGAGGATACCTTTTCCGATTTTTAAGGTGTGATCTGAAAAATTGTTTTTTGAAAAATGATTAATCAAATATCGATAATTTATTTTCTGAAAAATGAATTTTAGATGTGATAAAGCAAAATCTTTACCGCCTTACATTAAGAATATTTCATTGCCAATACATACAAGGTTGAAAGGGGCTGGTCGAACGGTGCAAGCACCGACTTACCCACGACAGAAGCCGAACTCATTGATGACAAACACCTACCAAATGGATCAACTGGATCAAGAATTGGAGCCCACGTAAGACCCATATGCATCTCCCCTAACACAAGTGGGTAGAAAGTCGTAAGGCGTAACGGTCCTAAAGCAAAGGCAGAATATTGACAGTGTCCACGTACGATACACCTCATACTGGCCAGTCTGGCCTTCTACTTCTAAAGTGGTCTACTGTTTTAGTCAAACTTCTAGATTCTCAGAATCTATCAACACAAAGAGTCAAAGACGCACCTCTATGGCTCTCCCTACAGTCCCACTCGACTCCATTGGGTTTACGACCGGTCAGCCCATTTGTTGAATATCCACGATTAGAGATCGGCTTCAGTCAGTTGAAAGCCCATTCGAATACTGTTCGAACAGCCATCATAGCCTTGCATTGGGAATATATTCATGATTCTATGCTTTATTTCACGAGGAGATATTTTCAATGCAAGGCCATGATGGCTGTTCGAACGAATGGACTTTGAACCGACTGAATCCGGTTTCGGCCCATAACCATAGTCTGACTGTACAGACTAATGTCTCTCTTAAAACCTTTGGATGGGAATATTTTCCAATAATCAGTGGGGACGGTTTGATCGGACCTGTCCGTGGGATGGTTCTCCATGGGCTAATCGTGGGCCTAGGTCTTAAGTCTTATCCCTATTTTTTGAAGCTGTCTTTTCGAATCCGGGGGCGAGAAGGTGAGGTCTTTATTGGTGTCGCCAACTCATCCCCAGAATTCTACCTCCATCCGTCCAGCGCGAGCGCGCCACCAAAATCCAGAATCGAGAAACAAACTTGTCACGTGGCAGGATCAAACGGGGATCCGTTAATGATTTGGATTGGGAGAACCGTAGGGTCGTCTTCGCACGGAAAGCCGAGAGAAGCCCGGAGGAACCTCGGACTTTTCGTACCTTGTTTTTAAAAGTCATTGAATCGCCGACGTCTCCCTCACCATTTTATCCAAATCCAACTACCAGACGGAGGGAATTCTGCCCTCCAAGATGGAAGAATCCATGCAAGAGACGACGTTTCAGAGAAATCCTATTCCCCCTTATATTGAGATTTCTTCTACTGGAGTTTGATTAGGCTATTGCCGTATAGGAAAGTGGTTTTGGGGAAGATTTTGGTGGGGAGTGAGTTAATCGTCAATTTTTGTTGAGATTTCTGCTACTGGAATTTGATACAAGGAGGTGCTTTTTGGGGAGGGTGAGTTGATCGTGAAGGCAGCGATGGGAATGATTTTAAATGGAGACGATGACTTGGTTCCTCCCTCGAATTTCGCCATGGTTGAAAGAGGGATTTACAGATCTGGTTTTCCGACTCAGTCCAATTTCGGTTTTCTCGAAACCCTAAATCTTCGATCCATCATGTTAGTTGTCTTCTCTTTGATTTGTTTCTTGTTTATTCTTGTTTGGTGGGATCATGGTTTTCCATGTTTTTTTTTTAATTAGAAGCTTTAAAGGTTCAAATTCTGTTCATGGGTTTGGTTAGTTAGGTTTGTTTAGTTGGAATTTTTTGTTGTTTTGAATTATCCTGCTAATCTGTTAAATTGTAAATTCAAATTTGATCAGATATTTGTGTCCTGAACCGTATCCAGAATCAAATTCTGAGTTTCTCCGATCTCATGGTATCAAGCTTTTCCAGTTTGCCATAGACGGGAACAAGGTAATTTTTTCTTTTCTTTTTCTTCGTTTCTGGATTATATTTAATGAAATGATGATATCATCGCCACTTTTATTTGTACTTTAAAGTTTAAGATATATGGAATCGTCATGTTTTTTTTTTTTCAATCCGATTATCTGTAACCGATATTTATATGCTTGCAAGAAAGAATAGTTAATCCCAAATTCTTAATTTATCTAAATTTCTTTTGAGGATGAACCAATTATGTCCTTAAGGTGAAAATTAAACTCAAGTATCCTCGAGAAACCTACAGTTGTTGAGGTATCTTACATATTTAATATATATATATATATATATATATATATATATATATATATTACATTAGGTATGTTAGAGACTTAATTGCATATTTGTGAATCTGAAGGTTGGGATGTTGTTAGCACATGTTCAGAGAGTCATCAACTTGGTCCCTATAAGCTGTTGCAGATGATCAAGAAACTGTTAGGAGACTACCCAAGTGTTGATCCTTTGTGTCTTTGTGTGGCTTCTAATTTCTTGTAGGGAATAGTGTCAACGATTTAAAAGGTGCGCCTAGGTGCACAGGCAAGGCGCATTTCAGGGCATGCGCCTCGCCTAGGTCCTAGGCGCAGCCCTTTCAAAAGGCGCATGCCTGGTGTGCCTAGGCATGCGCCTGATGTGCCTTGTGTCTCAGCCCAGGCATGCACCTTTTGAAAATTTGACGATTTTTTGCATTTTTTTGAACATAGCAGCTCATTAAAACTATAAAATCATTATTTTTTTTGTGTGAAAACTAAGAATTTAAGACCTAACATGGACTTGTTTGGGCTTTCCTCAAGGTGCGTGGCACAAAGGTGGCTTGTAGAATCAGGAATGTAATACGTTTTACATTACATTAGTTAATTGAAGTAATGCAATTGAGTGAAAAATAATGATTAGAGGTTTTACATGCTTGAAAATGTTTTATATGTTTGATTTTATTTTTGAATTCTCATTTGAATATGCTTTACATCTTATGTTTATGTATTTTAATTTTAGATAATAGGTTTTTTAAAACATTATTTTAAAATTTAAGTTTATATTTTTTATTAATATTATTTTTTGAAAATTTTGTTTTTTTTTTAATTTTTTAATTTTTATTTTTGTTTTGTATTTTTGTGCCTTGCTTCAAAAAAGCGCGTGCCTTGCCTTGTGCCTCAGGCCCAAATTGACCCCTGCGCCTTTTTTGTGCCTTGTGCTTTTAAAACACTGAATAGTGTTGATAGTGACAAATGTCCTCTTTGTAACTTTGCCCAAAGAGAAGAAAATGCAGGAATGATGAGTTTTTATTGGTTTATCATTGTTTGTCTGTCTGTGTGTGTTTATTTTTATTTTATTTTTTATAGATTCCAGTAAAACCAAGGCCTATAAACTAAACTTCTGGGTAAATTATTAGTTTGATAATAGAAATTCTGAGCAGCTTTTATACCACAAGGCTTGTAGTGCATATGGTTTACTCTTTAGTGCTCTATTAATAAGGCCACTATCCATCCATTTGGGTCTTGGAAGGGGTGGACTGGATAAGGACCTAACCATTTTTGTTATTTTTGACACATAGTGGCTGCTATCACCTGCTTTCTCACACTTGTGAGCCCATGGTTTTACCATTTCACCAAGCAATGGCTCCTATAGTGATTTTACCATTATTCTATTCATTTGATCTTAAAATGTAAGATATATTTATTAACTTCTAACTTCAAAGTCTTACCTAGAAAAACCTTATATTGATAGCTCACTATGGTGTGATTAAAAGGTTTATAGGAGAATGAGAAAATGTAAGCAAAGAAAGGAAAAGAACTTGAAATTGAGGTTTGTTTAGTTTCATTGAAACAATCAAGAGAAGAAAACGGGAATGCACTTTTCCCACTTCTCTATTATAAATGTCTATCATGTGGTGGCACTTGAACTACTCATTCAAACCCAGATAACACGGTAATAAACCAAAATTTAATATGTGAAACAACCAGGATTTAATGTTATGCAGAAAAAAAAGAAAAAATAAAGATTTGGTAGTCCTAGTTTGAATCTGTAACCTGTAAGTTGTTGATTAAATATGTTCTTCATTTCAAGACATTCATTGTCCAGTTCTTTGGGCATGTCCTAATATGGTTCTTATTGGTTGAGTTTATGTTGCATAGCTCCTATTTTGGACTTTACGACATCATTGTTTGAAACCATTTGCATCTGCAGGAGCCTTTTGAGTCTATTCCCCAGGATGTCATCATGGAGGCTCTGAGAGTCTTACTTGGTACTGAATAAAAATAAAAGTTCTGGAAACTTAGTTCTGATTCAATTACTAAAGTTCCTTTCTAACCCTTATCTAATTTGTGTTTCTATTTTCTTGTGTCTTCAGATATCAGAAATCATCCAGTTCTAATTCATTGCAAACGTGGAAAGGTATGCTTTATATTTGATTACCACTTCATCAGTTAGTATTTCTCTTGTTTAACAGGGGAAAATATAGAAGATGTGGTACTGACATTCAGAAACTTGAAGTTGGAATTTCATTGATCTAAGTTTCCCTTGGCTTGAGAATGAGTTTTGAATGACCCAGACTAATTAAAAAAAGGCCTTTTAAAAAAAAATAAAATAGTTCAAGTTCATAAATAAGAAAGAAAAATTCACCCTGTCAAGTGGAAATTTTTCTCTGGACCAAGCAAGCAATGTTACCTGGATATGGGATACAAAAGTGCCCAACACGATACAGCACCCGTTTACAGGTATCCTGTATCCGGGTATCATAATTAGCAAGTTTTTGAAGTGATTACTTTGTAAAGTTTTCTCTGGACATTATTGGCTGTTGACTCACCAAATGAGCGACCTACCAAAAGCTCAGGAGGATGCACGAAGTGTGTTCCTTCACACACAAGGCTTTCATTGATAATAGCTAGTTACATTGATCAGTAAATCTGAAATTCATATTTGGGAGGCCTTTCACTTGACATGTGCAAGATGTAGCACATGCATAGAATTGAGAGCTCTGACCAAGGGGTTCAACCATGAATCTTTCCCATACTGAAAAATTGTCTAATTTTGGTCACTTTTTTGTTTTGGAATTAAAATTTATTCCCCACAAAGTCTTATAGAATAGTGAAATTCAATCTGTAGTAGGTCAACTTTTGACTTAAGTTTTACATTTCTTACCATGCATAATTTTGCATATATGTTTCAAAATTTTCAATGCATAATACAAAGTATTTATCAAATGCAGCATCGGACAGGTTGCCTTGTCGGTTGCCTAAGGAAATTGCAGAATTGGTGCTTGTCTTCTGTTTTCGAGGAGTACCAACTCTTTGCTGGTGCCAAAGCCAGGGTTTCTGATTTAAGGTTCATTGAGATGTTTGATGTTTCATGCCTGAGGCAATGTCTTTATGGCATCATCTACTGCTATAGGTCGCACAATAGGCGTCTGGTTTACAAGGAAGAGAACTTAAAGAAGCCACAGATAGCTTCCAACTAGCAGGAAGTGGAATTCTTGATACTTTTATTTTGCCTTTCTCCAAGATCTTTTCTCTGTGTTTTCGTCTAAGAGCCAGATCCGATGTTCCCATTGGACCTCATCACATTTCCCATTTTTACCCCATTCTTTTTTTACACCAAGTCATTTTCTTGCAGAGTTTCCTCCTATACACTATCTAGAATTACTTCACAGAATCCATGTAAATGGTTGCTAAAATTCTAAGGATGCTTTCTTTGTGTTTGTGTTGTTATGATCAACTTTACTGGCTGCTGTTCTTTATGTAGCAGCTCTATATTCAGAATATTTCTGTTACAGAGGCTCATTTTTCTGTTTTAGTCTCTGGAATGCAGGGAAGAAGCAATTTAAGTACGTTATATATGGACATGCTTCAGTCTTCGGTCTTTTGTAATCCTTCATATCAGCTTATATTAAAATTCCTAATCTTGTTTCCTGTATATATATTCCTCTTTTTTGGGGTAGTTGGTAGCCCTGCCCCAGGCCCCAAAGCCCCCCAGTCCCTGGTGAGTGCGAGATTCATCCCAAGTCTCCTGCTAGAACCAGCCAGAGACCCTTACCCAGGGAGTGTTGACCACAGAGTCACAGCAGTTGCTAAGTCCATAGGCTTCAAGTATGGAAACAATCAATTTGTTTGAGAAAGTGAGTGAATACTTGGATAACAAGAAATGGATTCTTTGCAAGCTCCAAAGGCCTACCATCAGTTGAAGTAATGAACAAAATTAAAAAACAACTCTAATAGCAAGACAAATAAAATGTGGTGGGATGCAAACTCCAAATACTTTCATAATACCATAATGTTGCCTCAGATTCTAATTCTATGAGAGAAAACCGTAACCTAGAACCCAGAAACGAAGGCATAGGTCGGTGTTCATTCCCTAAATATAAAGTTTTTTTTTTTTTATTGGCGAATATAAAGTTCAAAAGCATATTAACGAGTAACGGAAAAAAAAATTGGTTTCCCATGGAATACTTAACCAACTGTGTGTGACTCGTATTCAGAATGTTGCTCTTTTCTTAAGTCGGTATTCAGAATGTTATAATTAACCATAGAATTGATCCCACCATGGAAATACGCACTGTTGAATGCTTAATCAACTGTTTATCAGTGTGTCCATGGAGTGGTGGTAAAGTTCTTGCAGTTCGTAGAATGGTCCAATAGAAATCAGGTCACTCACCTTAGAGGTCCACAGTTGGATGCATCAACAAATGGGTTATGCTTATGGACCTACGAAATAAACTTTGGTTAGTAGTTCGTTCTGAAATGTTAGAGGCACACTGTTCCAACCGCTACTTCTGTTTTTGTTCTTTTAACGAGCAAACTACTGCATGATAGCTTTTGCATGGTGGAGAAGAAGAAAGAGATAAGAGAGGAAGAAGGAAAAGAGGGAAATTTAATCAATATTTAAGGACAATTCAGTCCTTTAAATTTTATTGGTTGGAATTAATGTTTTAAAGGTTATTAAAGTATGTACAATTTGTTTTTGAAATTTGAGGATATATATAAATAATTTCTCAAATGTACAGCCGGAGATCCGATCAACTGAGCTCATACCGAGATCCAAAAATAGACCCAATAGAGGGCTGGGTTTAGCCATGTAAAATCTTTCTACCCAAACCATGCTCCAGACAGTGGAGAGGTGAGCATGTGATACCCTTTCTTTCTGTTCCCATCAAATCAAATCATCACGAGAGAGAGAGGAAATGAAACAAGACAAAGACCAAAGACTGGCAGAAAAGGAATTCCCATTTCCCAATCTGGAGGAAACCGGAATCCATCGAAAAAAAACCAGTGTTCAAGCCTCCGCAAGTCTGAGATCTCCACCTAGCCTTTCAGTTGGGGGTTGAGCACATTGCAGCCAGTGCTAAGTTACAAACTACCATGAATGGAGTGGGTGAAGCGGCTAGGAACAAAACAAGTGCTGGTTTTATAGGTGGAGCTCTGACCAGTGCAAGAGGATTCCACAACTTGAAGCGGAGCATGTAGATGAGTTAGTTGGTCAGATTTCCAATTATGGATGTTCACAAAACAGAAGATCATAACAGAAGATCAATGCTCTTTTGGCATTGGATTCCAAAGCCTCCGAAAAGGGAAAAAAATTCATACAGAACATGAACAATAACAAACTGCATAGAATGGAATAGACTTGACACAGAAGAATTGATGGAAATTTTGTGGTCAATGAAGAAAAAAGAAAAAAAAAAGAAGACATTTAACTAGTGCTTTAATCAATGTGAACAAGCCAAGCTCTTGGGTCAAGCTAGCAAAGTTACATCGCTTATCTTTGCTCTTAAAACGCTTCCATTCTCTGTGGAACTGGGGTCTTGATAACCTGTAGTATCTGCACTACTTCTGCCATTGATGGTCTGCTTGAAGGTATCTGAGATGTACATACCAGACCCAGTTTTAGAACTGGCAAGACCTCCTCTTCTGGGTACTCACCCATGGTTGGATCCACGCAACTCAGCACCTTCCCTTGTTCAAGCATCACTCTTACATGATCACTCAGTATCACTACATCATCCTCCCCATACTCCACTGGCTTTCTTCCTGTCACGAGCTCTAGTATCATCACTCCAAACCCGTAGATATCACATTTCTCGTTTATCCTCAGGCTCTGACACGCCAATTCTGGTGCAACATAGCCTAGTGCACTCTGAAACCTGCTACTGATTACGTGCTTGTCGAGCTTGGTCAGAAGCCGTGCTAATCCAAAGTCTGAAATCTTTGGATTGTAATTCTCATCAAGTAAGATGTTGCTGGGTTTGATGCTGTAGTGAATGATTGGTGGACGGAAGTTCTGGTGAAGGTGGACAAGCCCTTTTGCCGTCCCAAGTGCAATCTTGAATCGGTTGGCCCAGGAAAGAGGAGGACTGGATGGGGACCTTTCATGGAGCCTAGAGTGTAAGCTTCCATTTGGTGCATATTCTGATATCAGAAGCTGTAGCTGAGGAGTCCAGAAGTAGCCTTTGAGTGTGATCAAATTTGGGTGTCTGGCTTTCCCTAAGATCCTCACTTCTCTGTCAAAATCCTCTGGATATTGAATTATGTTAGATGTTACAAGCTTCTTAATGGCAACTATCCGTCCTTCACCCAGGGAAGCCTTGTACACTGTTCCAAATACACCTTTTCCAATCTCAGAGGCCTTGTTGAGTAGGGTCTCTGCATTTTGGGCCCAATCGTCTGAAGACCTTGAGTCAAACAGAATGAGCTTCCCTGTGGCAAGACTCCCTGATCTCTGGGAGCTTGAGCACATGCTTTCCAAGGCATTATCAACAAATGCCAGCCTCCTCCGGGCAGAAACGTTCAGTAAGCTCACTATTACAACTCCACAAACAATCACCAAAGCAGCAGAGATGGCAACAATGGCAGAAACACTCAGGAATCTGCGGTGACGGAGTTTAGCAGAACCAGTGGATTCTGGCACCACATTAGGTCCACCCATTTGATTGTTATAAGCATTTGGATCAAGGACTAATGGCTTTGGGACATTCATCTTGCAGGGTCCCCTCAACAAGGGTGAACATATCCCCAAATTCCCCTGCAATGCGCTCTGGTCTAGGTTCTGAAATATCCCTCCCACTGGAAGCCTGCCTACCAGCTTGTTATAAGAAATGTTCACTGCAAGAAGATTGTCAAGTTTACCCAGCTCCTGTGGTATCTCCCCACTTAGCTCATTGAACTCCAACTTGAGAATCTTGAGCTTCTTTAACCTCGACATTGCTTTCGGAATTGACCCATTTAACTGGTTATTCGACAAGCTCCTGCAATGAACACAAGCAAGAAGAATTGGTATATCACGATTACAGCTTCAGAATTGAGAGCAGAATATATATTAATGGAGGGTGAGACTTACAGCAAGTAGAGGGATGAACAGTTTCCAATCTCATCTGGTATTGGTCCTGTTAAGGAATTCCCATCTAATTGCAGGATTGCCAGACTGGTAGAGTCGCACAAATCCTCCGGTATCGACCCATATAAGGCGCTATTTCTTAGATCTAATACTGAAAGATTCTGGAAGTAGCCGAGCTCTGGCGGCAATCTCGACCGGAGGCTGTTCCATGACAAGTTGAGATATCTCAGGTTGGAAAACAGACCCATCTCAGCAGGAATGTCTCCGGTGAGCTTGTTTGCGGACAGATCCAATGCGCGAAGAGATTCAAATAGTCTGCTTGAACCAGCTGGGATTGAACCACTGAATTCATTTCTCGAGAGGTCTATTTCCTCCAAACCGAGATCGAACAGACCCTGTGGTATGCTCCCATTGAAGCCGTTGCCCCTCAACCGGATTGCAGAGAGCCTGTAGCAGTAAGCTAACGTAGCTGGAACACCTCCGGTCAGTCTGTTACCAGACAAACTCAAATAACTCAGCAATTTCAGTTGGTCCATTGTCGCTGGGAGGTTCCCGGTGAAGGAATTGCCAGAAAAGTCCAAGTATTCCAGACTGCTCATGTTACTAATCCACCAAGGGAAATCCCCGCTAAAAAGGTTATCCGATAAACTGAGAAACCTTAGTAAACTTAGCCTCTGCAGCGACTCCGGCAGGGCTCCGGTGAACAGATTGTTGCTGAGATCCAAGTGAGTCAAGTGTTGACATAGTCCCAGGTCGGCTGGTATCGGACCCGAGAAGTGATTCCCCTGGAACTGAAGATTTTTCAAGTTATCAAGAGCAGATATCCCATCTGGAACAGACCCAGAGAAGGCATTGCGCGAGATATCCAGGCTCCTAAGGTTTTTGAGGGACCAAACTCCATTAACGAAATCCGGGTTCCCAGAAAAATGATTGTTTGATAGATTGAGACCCACCAAAGAGGTGCATCTCGACAGAGTAGCAGGAACTGGGCCTTCCAGGATATTCCACGCTGAAGAAAAGAAATGAAGCGAAAAGCAATTTTGGAACAGACCATCCGGGAGAGGACCAGAGAGCGAATTCTCTGAAAGGTCGAGAAACCTAAGCGCACTCATGTTACCCAACTCGACCGGAATCCGCCCAGAAAGGCTATTGTGGCTGAGATTCAGCGTAGTGAGAGAGCCAATGAGAGACAACTCCGGACTGATATCACCGGTGAAGTTGTTGTGCGAAAGAGACAGTACCTGAAGGTTCTGCAATTTCTCGAGACCTCTTCCGATCTTCCCCGACAGCCCCAAGCCATCAAGCGAAAGCTCGGTGACACGGCCGGAGCTGGGGTCGCATCGTACGTATTTCCAAGAACACGGAGTATTATCATCTTCATTCCATGACCCCAAGAGCGAAGATGGGTCATGAAGGTCTGTTTTGAAGACGATGAGGCCCAACACATCATCGTTGAGCTGCAGAGAGACTTCGCTGTTGCTGTCGCCCATGCAACGTCGTGAAGACGCCATTAATACCAGCAAAAGCCGGAGAAGAAGAAAACCCACATCCACTTTCATCTTCCCTCTTCAGTTTCTCCCTCCACTCTGTTTCTTTCTTTCACTCACAGTCACAGTGAGTCCGCCATGGCCGAACCAGAAAGAGATGGCGATGGCGTGAGTCAACTAATCTGTTGTTAGGGGGACCGGACCGTTGCTTCTATCTCTCTCACGTAAGAAGGCATGGAGCAACCGGGAGGAGATGCAGAATACCGAAAATGGGCATGGGGTTGGCTTTATTGTGAATAGAGGAAGGAGGGGCCGATTGGGAATCAAAAAAATCTAAGTAGAATAGTTGAACGTGGTCCGACGTGGCGTTGGTGTTTTTCTGTCTTATTCCGACCGGTTTACGAGGCGACCTTGGTCTGGAGCATTTGTCGCATGTGTGAGCATTTTCATTTCTCAGTGGGAGAAAAAGATATAATAAGGTGGGGCACGGGGCACCGCTTAAGTAGGCCCCACGCGGAGTTTATGACGAGTGGGCCCACTGACAAACTGATCTTGACCGGACAAATAGAACCAGAGCCTGAGTTGAGTTGTCTGTTCACTGTAGCTGCATCTTCCAAATCTGTTTTGGAAGATGAGACGAAGCCACGGTTGAATGGGTCCCATCCCATCAAACAGTTACTTTTTTAAACTTTGATTTGGGGGTTTTTGAAAGATTGATGATGCTGATTTTTTATCTAAGCGCTGCTTTAGGTGGAGCCCGGCCAAGAGTAATCCTGATTTTAGACACGTGGCAAGTCATATGCCCATCAAGTGGTCAAGACCCATGGCTTCATGGTAAGTGTTGCGTGGTGAATTGTGATTCCCTAGTCAAAATCAGTCAGAGAATGTGCTGGACCACAAAGATACAATCAAGAGGTTCAAAGCACATGAGTTGCCTGGCCCACCTGTTGATAGGTCCATCTTCCCTAGATGTGGTCCACGTGTCTTTTAAATTCATACATTTTTACAAATATATAAATTAGTCGTGGTCCAGGTGTCCAAGTTCAAGAAGAGAGAGAGAGAGAGAGCGAGAGCGATAATCACGGCAAATGAAGATCTTGAATGGAATTCGTTTTCCACTGCTCGTTTGCCGTTATTCCATCTCACTTATAAATCAATATACAGTGGAAAGGATTGTAAATGGAATTTTAATTCCGTTCAACCAAACAGTTAGAATTAGAATGTCCGATTTCCATTATTTTCAAACTCATATTTCTATAAACCAAATGGGACCGTAAATTGGACTGAAGATGGCCGAAGAAAATTAAAAGAGGAGAGGAAAACTCATGATGGCAAAGGAGAATTCTAGTTAGATTATGGAAAAGACTTGACACTCGAGGAAGACCATGGAGAGAAGACAAAAAATGAGATCATATATTTGATTCGGTTCAACTAAAGAAACGGAACAAAGTTGAAAACTATGCATTGGGGATTCAATGAAAATGAAGTTTTGATTGAGGACATGAATCAAATAGCTTGTGTTCTCACCTAATTTATGTTTAAGTTTTAATGTTTTATGAAGCATGTAGAACAATTTTCTGAAGGGGTTCACCCTTTTAGGGAGCGTTTGACAACATTGGCTCCATTAAAATCTCATTTAATCTTGTAGAGTTTAAAATTTCGTAGCAAGGATGTAATATAGTGGTTAATATCCCGTTTAGCTTTTATTTGTTTTTATTTTTCAGTTGAGTTTATTTTTATTTCTAGAGGGCCTACTTCGAGGTCTCACTTGTTGGTCACACTTGCATATCTCATATATATATATAGGTTCCACATGTGGGCCCTAAGCCAATATTCCATGCCTCACAAATTGTTCCACATGCATGCGAGCCCCTATTTTACTGTTTTAAATGTGAATCCCACTGTTGGTCCACATTATTTTTGTGGATCCCACATGTTGGTCCTATATAGGTCCCACACATGGGCCTTAAGGGTTTTCACATTAAATGTCAAATCGATTAAATCAATTAAATCGACCCAATCCAATCCGAATTTGCTTTTTTAAAACTATTGGTCGGTTTTGGTTTGTATGAAAAAATAAAACGATAATTCGGTTCAGTTTCAGCTTTCATATATGAAAATTGAAACTAAATCGATCGTATATGTTTAACTGTTTTAAGTAATTATTAATTAGCTCCTACCCTATATGTTAAAGGTTGATATATTTTATTTATATTTATTTGAACTTTGAAAAAAAAAATTGGTTATTTATGATAAAAAATAAAAACGTAAAACTAATACAAATATAATACAATGGTACTGATGAAGGGTGGTTTGGTACAACCTAATAAGAAGAGGACACGTAGGCGCGATCTGCTCGAGGGGTGACAATTCAGCCAAACGAACCCAATTCACAACATTCGGAGCTCGAGTATCCCGCCACCTCGGCGTAGAGACACCTCGATATCCATTCCAGTTCGGGGCTAAAGAATCAAAGTGCCAGTTTGGAGCTAATAAGCCAAAACACCACATAACCGACTCCAAAGGCCTCCCCAACGGACCCCGAATTTCTCGGGATTACGATGAGACTTGTCCTAGCTTCGCCTGAATCAGAGGTAAACGATAAACCTTATCAACATATTGCTCTCATTCAAAAATGGAACAAACCTTATCTGCACAACCCGGAGATCCCGGAGCTCTTTCGTAAGGCCCACGACTACTCCATTATATAAAGACATGAAACCTCAAGGCAAAGGTACGCGTGATTATTTTACTCACTAGCATTCAAGCACTCAAGATTCAGCTCACATTCATAGTATAAGTACTGACTTAAGCATCGGAGCAACCTCGCCGGGTCAGCTACCCCGGGTTCTCTGATCTACTATTCTGCAGATTGGTCCAGCTCGCCGCCCAACTGGAGTTCGGATCATCTTCCAGCTTGGACTATTTAGATCGCGCACCATCAATTGGCATCATCTATGGGAATCGATCGAAAGGTCATCCCAACTTTAGTTGTAGTTTTATTTATCCTAATGGACTCTTCTAGCAACACTGGAAAAAGTATCGAGATGAACGTTACCAGGGGCAGGATCAGCAATCAACCTTCCCCCAAGGCCCTACGGTATGCATTGGCCAGTGTGTCCAGCCAATACAGATACAGATGCAGCAGGTCCAACAATTTTAAGTACTATCTGTACCAGCAATATCAGCACCAATTCCCACCACTGCAGTAGTAGCTGATTCCACCTCAGCACACAGGACTACGTTAGGGCCAGAACCCGAATCGACCTGGAACCAGCCAGAACGTCAACCGATCCCCTCATCGGGGTGAGGGGACCTCGCAAGTACCGATTCCTCCCAGGGGTCAGGTTTTTCCCCGTGGGAGGAGAAACGGTCAACACACTCCTCTAGTCTCGCAGGGAAATTTTAGGAGCAGGTCCGGGGATAGTCAGCTCAATAGGGCCAATCCGCCTCGGCACTCCCAATAGGAAAATGACAACTCGCGAGGAGATAATAACCATCTCGGAGTTTGGGGTGCGAACTTGAGGCAGGACCCCCCTGTCCCTCACGATAGCCAGTGCGAACCCCACAATCAAGAGAACCTAACAAGAAGGAACTAGGATCCACCTCGCGATAATGCCGAACTACCAGACTAGACTGAAGTCAGTAACACCAATGCTGAGTCGGTGAAGAAGCAGCAGCGGCAACATCGCAAGACACATTGCCCCTCGGCCAAAAACAGCCCGCCGGCGAAGCCAGGCCAGCAAGCTACGAAGACTACACCTCCACTAATTTGTCGGTTATCCCCATTGTCTCTCGAGCTCTTGGCAACTCCAATGTTGAAAGATTTCAAGGTACCCCCGTTAGACAAATATAGCGGATCATTCGACCCCAATGATCATGTGGATTCTTTCTAGTCTCAGATGCACCTAGATGGGGCTGATGAGTCCTGCATGTGTGTGGCCTTCTCCACTACGTTTAGCGGGGTAGTCTGAACTTGGTATCGGAACCTCGCGCCAGGCTCCATCAAAAGCTAGTCCCAATTTTCCGACCTGTTTACTGCGCACTTCATTACCAGTAAGAAGTGCCCGAAGTCGCAAGAAAGCCTTCTCAGAGGGAAGGAGAATCAATCCGAAGGTATATAAAGTGCTTCAACAATACTTACTTGCAAATACCGGACCTCGATCCAGCGGTGCGACTCACTGCGGCAAAGAAATGAATCACCCATAAAGAGTTCAAGTGGCACGTGGTAGCTAAGAAACCGAAAGATATCATCGAATTCCTCAAGTTGGCAGATCAGTTCATCGCTACTGAGGAGGAGATTAACCAAAAGATCGTCAATCTACCATCAGAAAAGAGGAAGAGAGAGAATGAAGGAACGAGCAATGGTGGGAAGAAAAGAAAGGAAAGCAAGTCCCCAAGCAAAGGAAGAAGCAAGTCAAGAAGTTAGTCCCCCTTGCGCACCCGCAAGTCAGGTCGGCGCTCTAGGACCCCACCTATGGAGAGAACGAGCTATACACCTTTGAATGCTAAGCGAGGAGAGATCTTAATGGCTATTAAGGATTCCTCCTTCATCAAATGGCCTCCCAAGTCAAGGGACCACCACAATAGTTGCCAAAGGAAAGACCAGCCCGTGGGGTAATTAACATGATCACCGGCGGGTCCATCATCGCCGGATGTACATCAGCAGCTGGGAGGACCCTGGTTCGCGAATTGGAGAACGAAGAGGAAAACCCGCCAAAGCGACCTCGGCTCGAAGAACCGATATACTTCACTAAGGATGATGCGTGCGGCCTGAAACCGGCAGATACACCTCTGATATACTCTTCAAGGATTAACGGTGAAGCTAAGGATTAACGGCTTCGAGGTAAAACGCATCTTGGTGGACTCAGGCAGCTCAACAGATATACTCTTCAAGGAGACCTTTGACAAACTATAGTTACAGCAGAGCGACCTAAAACAGGCAGATACACCTTTGATAGGGTTCAGCGGCGAGGAAGTCAGACCTCTTGGTCGAGTCACAGTACCCGTGGAAGCCAGCACATGGCCAAACATCGTGCGATTTGAGCACACGTTCCTAGTAGTTGCGACTCCCTCCCCCTACAACGCAATAGTAGGTCGACCTATCACACATGTTCTACATGCGATAGTATCCACTTACTATTTATCAATGAAATTCCCAACTGATTACGGAGTGAGAGTCATGCGAGGTGACCAGCTCGAATCCCGCAAGTACTATGTGGCTGCCTTAAAAGGGAAAAAG